GTGTGTGTGTGTGTGTGTGTGTGTGTGTGTGTGTGTGTGTGTGTGTGTGTGTGACTAATGCTGGGTTTACTTCAATGGCCTCAAAAATGAAGAGCCAATATGGTTAGCAAATTAATCACAAAAAGACTGGACTAGGTTGGCCAAACCATATACTATACTATGCCAAGAATCTGACACAACAGAGAAAGGAAATTCTCTTACTGAAGCATATGGTCATCAGTTGTGTTGTAATGTAGTTCAGTATCTCAGCTTTATAAACAGTATTTTTAAAAAAAACACTATTTTGGGGACTTGAGAAAGCACTCACATACAGACACACACCAACTAAGAGCAGAAAATTATGCAAGCAGCACTTTTCTACTCTGTCAGCAATGAAGTTTGGTTTTTTGTTTTGGTTTGTTTTTGGTTTTTCAAGACAGGGTTTCTCTTTGTAGCCTTGGCTTTTCTGGACTCACTACTCACTTTGGAGACCAGGCTGGCTTCAACTTCACAGAGATCTGCCTACCTCTGCCTCCCAGAGGCAGGTTTGCACCACTGCGCCTGGCTGAAGAATTCTTAATAATCTTTGCCTGGGCCTAAGTCATCACCAGGTCAGAAATACCTTGTTAGTTCTGTGTAAGAACTACCACATGTGGGTTCTTTGGTCTTTCATACCATTTTACATATTTATTTTTTCTGTGTTTGATTAATCCGGAAAGTGCCACTGGTTGCGAAGTTCATTTTCTTTATAGTGGCCACATCCAGAATCCATCTCACTCTAGGGTAGAATGATCGCTTTGAACACCTACATATCTTGTAAAGTATTTGAGTGATCTGGAGGAGCCCTTAAATCTATTTCTAAACCTTCAACACAACAGAGGAAGAAATTCTGTCTCAGTAACTAGAATCCGTGAAGAAAAAGGAAGGAGAAACTCATAGAGAATTAGGGAAAAAGAGGTATTGTGCAGTAGAAGGAACTCCTGGGGAGACCTTCCTCCCTTCCCTTTCACCAACATCATCCCCTTTCTATTTGGATCTTGGTAGCCTAATCCCAGCCCTATTTTACCTGCTATAATCTCTTCTTCCTCTTCCTGCCTCTCCTGACATTACTTTACTGCTCTTTTACCAACTTGAACATTGGATAAAACCTAGCTCAGGTAAGAACTTGATTATTTTCAAAACATACAAGGGATGGAGGGAGGCAGTGTGGGTACAACGGAGTGAGAGTTAAAGGACTAAACCCTATTTTCATTTCTGTCACTTACAACTGTGTGGCTTTAGGCAAGTCATCTCATTTTTCTGGGCTTCAGATTCCCCATCTGAACATGAAATCAAACAAATTAACCAAAGGAGTCTTGCAGTTCTAACACAGATTTTCTTCTTTTTCTTGCTGATGAAAATGGATAGATGGCATTGGGAATACTGAAAACAAATGTTTACAGTTCTGAGGTTTCAATCTGATAATTGGAATCAAAAGCCTTCTATTTTAGAGACCAGTATTGATATGGAAGTTAGTGGAAGCAGAAGAATGTTATACATCCATAGTGAGCCCTTAAATTTTAGTGAATCCTGCTAAGTAAGGCACATGTCAAACCCCATGAGAATAAAACTCTTTCAGGGAATTAAATTCTGTCTTCAAGGTTTCCAGATCCACTTCTTTCAAGTAGTGTCCAGTGTAATAAAATTATTGATGTTTTAGAACCCTTTAAAACTGTTGTGGCTACAGTGTGCTGACTTGCCCTTTTATAGGCCAGTGTGCTTTCTTCAGTCCCTGCTCTCAAGGGGGAAGTTCCATCACCTCAGCTAATGAGACCAAAGAAGAGAATTGGACAGCCAGGGGTGGCCTCTTCTAACCAGAGGTAAGAAAGCTTAATTAAACCTTATGGTTTCTGTTTATCCTCCTTCCAACCATAATACACAAAAGGTCTGTCCTCAGTTTGAGTTAGCTTGTAGAAGGGGAAAGCTAGGCATATGAGTTCTAAGCCAACAGTCCAGCATGTGGTGCATCCTTATGTGGTGATAGGTGGGTCAGGATTTTAACACCAGCCTCGGCTCCATGAGATGCTTATCTCAGCTCCTCCTGCACCGCCCCAGCAAAAGTCCAAACAGGAGGAACTTGTTATGCATGGTTCTATCCTGGTGTTGAAGACCTTTGGACCACACTGTAAACCCAGAAGAGGCAAACAAGCCTGTAGGAAAACAGCTTCTGAACATCTTGTTCTATGACTAGTACTTTTACCAAACAATACAGCTGTTCATTTCTTCCCGAGGACCCTGTCCTGGGATGAAGGCTGATGATGACGTTGTGTTTTCTGTTTACCCTCAGTGATTTGGCAATTGAACACAGGTTAGGTCTTTCACCTTCACTCTCTAGGAAATGAAGTATCAAAATCCTAAGTATGTTAATACATCCAATAAGGGTCATGAAACCAGGCATAGTGGCATTTGCCTGAAAGTTCCTCTTGAGGCAGGAGAATCGCTTGAGCCTACGAGCTCAATACTAATCTGAACAACATATGAAGTCCTCCATATCAAAATAATAATAGAGGGCATGAGCCTGGGCTTCAAGACCTGAATTAGAGGACATGATCTTGAACACATTAGCTGATATCAAACTTGTTTGTGTGTACTTTTCACGTACAGACAAGATCTGCCTGCCTACTACTTGGAATAAAGGTTTGTGCCACCATAACCAGGTTTTTTGTTTGTTTTGTTTTTGGTTGTACTACTGGGAATTCAAAGCTATTTGCTTAAGTGGTAGATGTCTTGTGTTTGCCTTATAGGCTTAAATGTCCTACTCATAGTTTTTGTTTTCATTTTTGGTTGGTTGTTTTTGCTTCTGTATCAAACAGTAATTAGTGTTAACCCTGTAACTTTAACTTCTGATGCTTTATCCATGTTGTGAGGTTGTGTGGATATGGAGTCTGGCTAGTTTCCTAGCCCTGACAGTATGTTATAGAAGAGTAACCTAAGAAAAGCAATAGTAGTAGGACTGGCTGCTGTTTTATAATAGAGATTCAAGGAAGACCTCATTTCACATCATGCACCTTTCTTGAAAACCTCTAGGGGGATGGAGAGAGTACTCAGCAGTTAAGAGCACTGACTGTTCTTCCAGAGGACGCTGGTTCACCACATGGCAGCTCACAACTGTCTGTAACGCCAAGAGCTGACACCCTCACACCGAAACACATGCAGACTAAACACCGATGCACATAAAATTTAAAAAAGAAATAAATTATTTAAAAAAATAAAAAAAGAAAATCTAGAATTTGTTTGGGTTTTGTTCTCATTTTGGCACTGCTGGGGATCAAACCAAAACCTTGAGCATACCACACAAGCACTCTACCAGCTGAGCTACTTCTTCAGCCCCTTTAGTTTTTCTGTTGTTTGCCTCACTATGTGGACCAGGCTGGTCTCAAACTTGGGATCTGCCTGCTTCTGCCTTCCCAGTGCTGGGAGCAAAGAAGCATGGCGCCACATGCATCCCACCCCTGGAGTTCTATTTCTCAGTCTATTTTGGTGAATAACTTTATTATTAAATATTGGTGTGCTATACATTTTCTTGTACTGCACCTTCTCAGATGATGCCATCCCATACTCTTGTATTTCGTTTTATTTCTATCTAGACACAGTTCCCCCCCTTGAACTTCCAGTTATTTCAGCTCCTTACTCTATTTTGTTACTCTGCACACAGTATTCATTCCTTAATATAAGACATGCCCCTTTTTGTTTTCCTTTTTACAGTTCCAGCTACCAAGACTCTCAAGCCAGGAGATTCGAAGTTAGCTTATCTCCATCTTCCTTAGCCTGCCCTTGACCAGATTACTTTATCCTCCACCTTTAAATTTTCATTACATTTATGGGGGGAGGGGTACATGCATATCACCATGCCTATATAGAGATTAGAGGACTGCTTGCAAGAATTGGATCTCTCCTTCCACTTATAAAAGTTCCAGGGATCGAACTTATATCATCAGGCTTGACAGCAAGTGTCTTAGTCTGCTGAGCTATCTCACTAGCCGATACTTTGTCCTTCTGTGTATCTGAATTTCATCCATTTATCTGTCTACATTGCCACTGCCCAATGAACTCATCTTCAGTATCACCATCCTCCATGCCCCCACTCTTAGCTACTTTCTCACGTTGCTTAAAAGTGAAATTGTCACTGGGTAGTGGTGGTGCATACTTTGATCCCAGCACTCAGGAGGCAGAGGCAGGCAAACTCTCTGTGAGTTTGAGGTCATCCTGGTCTACAGGACAGCCAGGGCTAAAACAGAAAAACCCTATCTCAAAGAAACAAACAAAAGTGAAATTGTCAGACAATTACCCAGTCTGCTTAGACATGCACCACTTTTTAAGAGACTCCAATACCTTTTAAAGAATAATAAAAATATATGTACATTTGTTACCTGAAATGTGATTCTGAAAACCTGCAGTTTCTGCATTAACAGGAATTGCCTGTCATATCACTGTGCTTAAGTTTTTTTTAAAATTCAATCTCAGCCAGGCTTGGTGGTGCATGCCTTTAAGACCAGCACCCTTAGCATGGTGGCACATGCCTGTAGTCCCAGTTCTGGGGGAGGCAGAAGCAGTAGGATCTCTGTGAGTTCAAGGTCAGCCTGGTCTACAAATCGAGTCCAGGACACCCAAGGCTACACAGAGAAACCCTGTCTTGAAACAACAACAAAAAAGACCAGCATCCTTAGAGGCATATAGATCTCTGAGTTCAAAGCCAGTCTGGTCTACATACCAAGTTCCAGGATGGCTAGGACTGTAAGATCCTGTCTAAAAAATAAGAATTTAAAAAATTAAATCTACTCTCTATCAAGCCTGTCTTTGATGTTCCTTTCCAGAGCGCTAACTAGCTAAGCTTCCTCATCCTCACCACGCCTTTAGTTAGCTATGTCTGATCAAAGGGCTGGCCTCTCTTGACCACAGCCTTCCCCTCCTCCATTCCCTAGTTAAGGTTCAGTAAAACCTTAAGTGACAGTCACAAAGCCTCTGACCTTCCTTCTGTGCTCAAGGGCAGACCCTCCAGGCACTGTGACCAAACTGCTATCAGAGGCACTACAAAGCTGAGCTGAAGTCACTCAAGCGGGAGCCTGTCTCCCCTCCTACAAGCTCTGAGGGCATACTTTTACCATAAAGCAAGTTAATAGTAATGCTATATTACTCCTCCCAACATCCAGGTATAACTAGTAAATAAATAAGTAAACTCAACATCTCTCCAGTCTGTGCAGATCCTGAGAGTTCCCTGGGCAGGTGGGCGGAGCCCTCAGGTTAAGGGGGCGGAGCCTTCAAGTTAAGTGACTGGCCAATGGCCCTCCCCGGGTGTGACGTACCCTAGTATTGCCTCCTGCCACTCGCTACTGCTTATATCCCAGAGTTGTTTTCCGCGCTTTCAAGGCACCCGTTGTTACCTTCCTGCTGCTTGCTATGTCTGCGTTCACGAGTTGCCCAATTCCGGGGTGCCAGGACCGGCTGCCAGACTGCTACAGCACCACGCCGGGCGGTACACTATATGCAACTACCCCGGGAGGTCAGCGGACAGGGACTGTATGAGGGTGGGGTAGGGTGGACCTTGGAATTGCTTTCCGGGGCCTCTTCAAATTATAGCGTGAAGGAAAGTATTTAAAACTTGTTTTCTCAAAAAACTCTAGAGCAGCGCAACAATGCTTTAAACCCACTTTGTAGCAATTCTTTCTCTGCTGTGCTCCATGCCTATGCTGCACCAAATCACTGATGCTGGGGAATAATTTAAGTCCCAATAGAACAAGTGGTTCTCAACCTTCCTATTGCTTTAATACAATTCATGTTGTGGTGACCCCAACCATAAAAATTATTTTCGTTGCTACTGCATAACTTACCTTGCTGCTATTAATTAATGTAATGGAAACATGGGTTTTGTTTTTTTATGGTCTTAGGTGACCCCTGTGAAAGGGTTGTTTGACACAAACCCCCAGGGGTCGCAACTCATAGGCCGAGAAGTGCAGCAATAGGTGGCTCAACATAAAGCAGCAAGTATTATGTAGTGATTGCAGCATTGGGCCATGAGCTGCTAGGCTGGCAAACAGGTTTCTGCCATGTGGAAGCAGAAGGGAGCAGCAAGAACAGGGCAGGGCTCTTCGAGGACACTGCTGGCTGTATCCCCATGGGTGAGGCTAGCTAGCCCTAAAGGACTTTGGGGGTGGGGCATCATGTTTTTCAAGGAGTGCCAAGTCCCCCTTGCAAGAGGTGGAGAGCCCAGGAGACTACACTGGATGGAATTCATAAATGTTATTGAACTTTTTGGTGAGAGGTTGTTAGGCCCCACTTGATACACCAAAACAATGAGATCTGTAACCTGCAGACTAGTTTGAAGTGTGGTGTTCCTCCTCAAGACTGTGACCCGTCCTAGCCTACTTGGACTAGCCAGAATGTTCAACTTGCCTTAATGATGCTTAGACTAAACTTGGTTGGGAGCATTTGCCAGCTGAATCTTAGTTGGGCAGTAATGTGTTCAAGTTCCTGACTCTTCAGTCCTTACTCCGTCACAGGCACCAGGATCATCTACGACCGAAAGTTCCTGCTGGAGTGCAAGAACTCACCCATTGCCCGGACACCTCCATGCTGCCTTCCTCAGATTCCCGGGGTCACAACTCTCCCAACAGTACCACCCTCCAAGCTGGAGTTGCTGAAGGAAGAGAAGCAAACAGAGGGAGAGATAACCGGTAAAGAAAGTAGGAACAGTATTTAACTGCCTTTGTGAAGTAAAGTTGGGGTTCAATTCCAAGAGGGGTTCCTGTACTAGCTGAACTTACAAAAACTTAAATGGGTAACTGTGCTCTCTTGCCTTCTCTCCCCAGATGACGAACAATTTGAGATGGACATGTAATCCAGTGTGAGATGACCTGTGTGAAATTACAAAAGGAACTCTTATGCCACTATTGCCACCACCTCTTCTAGGGTATCCAAGGGCCACCTGGCCTCATCTAATCTGGAAAAGAGTGACTTGTTGGTTCTGGGCTCTCTTTAGTTCTGAGGCAGCTAGACCAGGGACAGCAGTGGACAACCTGACAAGCCTTTAGCTTTCTCTAGTCTGTACATATTCCTCTCAAACCCTTGCTGTCCCCTCAGGGCTGGCACTGCGGAACAGAGTATGTCACCTTCTGGCTGCTTAGTAAACATTTAAAGAAACGTGTTGGCTCCATTGTTCTCCTCAGTGTTCAACGCTCATCTGCACAACTGTGATACCCAGCTACCTTAAGAGACCCCAAGTCTGTTCCCAGCCCCCACTGTCCCACTTCCAGCAGCATGTTGGACTTGAGGCAGGCTATGAGGGAAGGCTGCTGGAATTATCAGGCCATAAACAGCAACAGCCTGAGCCTTTTCCTGTCTTTCCAGGAAACAGCCATCCTGCAATTGGACCTTTTCAGGAGCCCTTCACTATCCTGGAAGAGATACTTTTTTCAGCTTATAGGCATCCCTGACTTCTCCCCCTGCCTTTTCTGTGTCCTACCTCTAAGTACCAATTCCCAGTTCAATGGCAGAAACCTTGTATACTCTCTTTTCAGCAATAACCACCAGTACATTTCTGGTCCCAGCTGTTTCTAAGTGTTAGAAATTACTTTGGGGAGAGTGCTAGAGACAGCTCAGCAGTTAAGAGCAACAGCAGCTCTTCCAAGGGCTCTGAGTTCAAATCCCAGCAACCAAGCCACATCCCACAACCATTTATGATGGGATTTGATAACCTCTTCAGCTCATGCAGGCAAAACACTCATATCTTTTTTAAAAAAGAAAGACTGTATGGCCTACACAAAAACCCAAAATGTGGCACCACCTTTCTTGGTAAATCAGATGATCTTGACTTCAAATATCACTTATCAGGTGGCACGTGCCTATAATCCCTACACTCAGAGGCAGAAGCAGGTGGATCAGGTGAATTTTATAGGCCAGCCTCCTCTACAAAATGAGTCTAGGACAGCAAAGGCTACAAAGAAACCCTGTGTCAAAAACCATATATATCCGTAATCTAGTCTTTGTTGTTAAAATAGAATCTCGACACAGTTCAAGCTGGCCTCAAACTATGTAGTACAGGCTTGAATTTCTCTTCCTATTTCCATGTCTCAAGTGTTAGGACCACAGGCGTATGCTACTACACCCAACAGAAATGCAGAAATTTGGTCATTTTCTAATCTCTGTAACAGTACAGCAAAAAGAACAGTTTCTTCTGACAGGAAAATTTTCAGTTGTTTGAATCTGTTATCAGGCTGAAATGAAATTAGCCAGAGATGCTGGGCCACATTACAAAGAATATGCTTTTCAGTCTAATTTTGAGAAAAGCAGTTAACAATCAGGCTGTACCCATCAAAGACCTTCCTGATGAATGAAACAAGGAGTGGTATTCTTGGAGCAGGGAAGCTGACACCAGAAAGAACCAGTTTGGCATCAGAATGGCTCACCTTTCCTACCCACTTCCCACTATCGAGATGTTTATTGAAATGTACATGAGTAACAAGTGATCTTGCAGTGGCCCAGGTAGGATCTTTGGTCATGCCCAACAGGACCAACAGTCTCCCTGGTGGTAAAAGGGAGCCAAGTGAGAAGAGGGCCTTCCACACCAAGGCATAGTAAGTCATGTGAAGTGAGTCTGGGGAGCTCCCAAGATTATGAAGACTGTTGGAAGCCTGGTATTGTCTGGTTCTCAGGTACCACTGTAGATTTCTCTTCTTTGGCTTCCTCTGAAGACAGACTTCTCTTTTCTGCAATTAATCTTTTAACTCCCACCATCCACTGACTGACCTCAGTCACATGGTCAACCATGAGTGAGCGGTGAATGTCATCTGCTGCATCCCACTGGTGGTGTGAAAGTTCTGAGGAGAGACATTGCTTGAGCAAGCAAATGGCAGTAAAAGACATGTCTACCTTCCATTCCTCCCCTCCCAGTCAGTTAAAACCTCATCACCCATCACCGTGGTTCAGCCACCAATGGCAGGATAAAGGTCCCCACCCATACCTTGCACTAGTATCGCCATCCTCTTCTTCACAGGTGTCGACAACTTCCCTCCAGCCCACTGTTCTTGAAACAGTGCCAAACGCCGGCTGATATCATCACATACCTGCTTCTGAGACAGAAGCCCATCCAACTCAGTGCTACCAGCATGTGTTTTCTCTGACTCAAGGTCATTAGAGTTCATATTCCTTTACCCAAAGCTTAGAGGCTCTCCACTACAAATATGAAACCTATGGATCTCCTCCCAAGACAAAGGATACACTTGACAAATTTAAATTTTAAATTTTCAGTGCCTTCTCAGCCCCTCAGAGGCTCATCTTAAAGTTACTGTTCAAGCTGAGTGTGGTGGCACATGCCTTTAATTCCAACACTCTTAGAAGGCAGAGGCAGAAGGATATTTGTTCAAGGCCAGCCTAGTCTATAGAACCTGAGTTCCAGGACAGTGAGGGCTATTACAGAGAACCCTCCAAAGTCCTGAGAATCCCTCTGACATCAGTGTCTACTTTCCTGGAAAGACAGAGATTCCTTAGGGGTCCATCAGGATGTCTATACTTGATTTGATTGGATAGAAGTCCTTTCCACCCCTCAGAAGTGCCAGGGCCTACCTTCGTGTGGGCGCGGCAGTCCTCCAATGCCTGTTCCAAAGGTCTCAGCACATCTTCTATCAGAGCCTCAGACTCAATGGCTGGGGAGTGTAGGGGTTCCACACCAGTAGCAGGACAAGTCCCCATAGGTGGAGGTCTGGACGCCTTACTGGAAGGAGGTGGATGATCCACTGCAGGTGGTCCAGAAGTTTCTGAAGTTGGGGCTGGTGTGTTCAAGCGGGGTCAAGCAACAAGGCTTAATACCTCGGTGATCATTTTACTCCCATCTTCTCATTTCTTTTCACTTTGTTCACAGCACTGAATCAACTACAAAATGTCTTCATCATCCCATAAATGTACAAAGAAGCTGTAGTATTTGCTATCAAAATCTCTTCACATTCTATTGTTCTTTCTCCCTTTAAAAAAGACAAATCTGTGCTACGTACCCGAGCCAATCCTGAAACTTGTTTTGGTGGTGGTTGTTTTGTTTGTTTTGTTGGTTGTTTTTTTCGAGACAGGGTTTCTCTGTAGCCTTGGCTGTCCTGGACTAACTTTGTAGACCAGGCTAGCCTACGAACTAAGTGATCCACCTGCCTCTGCCTCCTGAGTGCTGGGATTACAGGTGTGTGCCATAGTGCCTGGCTCCTTAAACTTCTTTTGTAGACTAGCCTAGCCTCAAACTCAGAGATTCAACTGCTCTTGAAGATTAATAACTGAAATGTTAAATCTACTGGTCCTGTATTGAACTATCTTCACTACTGGTTTAAGATTTAATTATCAACAGTCTTCTCCATGTAATCTTTAGGTGCTGGAGACCCTTTGAGTTCTGTCGAGGCCTCTATCCATATCCTCTCTTTTGGGAATGTTCAAGCCCATGACATCAAATCAAATATAACATCCCACCACTTTGGAACACTGTACTTCAGTCTCTGAACTAGGCAAGTTCTCAGAGACTTCGCTGTTTCAGAAACTTACCTGTTTCTTGTGCCTGAAATGCGTTTGCATCTTTTAGTACCTAACTTGTCACATTACTTATCACGATTACTTAAATAGCCTCCCCCCATTCCTGGGTTACCTAGAAACAATTGCTTTCCCCTCTGCAAAGTCTCTACCACTCTTTCATGTGTTATTTTACCTCGAGCTAATGCGGACTGTAGATTCAAAGACCTTTTAGTTTGCACCCAAACTGTTCCTGGCTTTTGACAGGTGCTCAGTAAATACCAATTAAACAAGACAGTAAATAACACAAAGTCTGGGGTGCTTATGACACAAAGGATCCTGAGAAGAGATCTAGGCATCTTGTCCAATATTCCATTTACTGACCAAAGCTGCAGAAAGAATGTAGAAACGCGCCTGCGCTGAGCCTCTTACTGGCTCCCACCCTCTCGTTATGGAGTCCTTGGAAGAGGAAAACAGGCCGATGGGGCAGGTTTATCCCCAAACCATCTTTCCGTATCGGATTCCACCCACAGCCCTCACGCACCTCTAGGGGATCCATCCTGCGGAGCCGCAACCCTCTTAGTAAGGGGCGTACGTTTGGGTCCACCAGTCTGAGTCTGCAGCCCGTAGGAGAACTGCGGCGGGTCGTTCCAGCCACGTTCCTTATTGCCTGCGAAGGCGAGGAAGTGTGTGAAATGAGACCGGGAACCCAAAAGGCTACACTGGGGCTTGGTGGGGAGGGCAGAGTTTGTTCCGTGTATTCCCTAGCCCACTGGTCGTGCTCACCAGGCTTCACGTACAGCTCCGCCATCTCCACTTCCGCACCGCCAGCAGGGCAGTGCGTCATTTCCGGGGCGGTAGCTCGCTCACTCCTGCTGCACTGTGATACTGGAGGAGGCCGGCACCAATTCCTTAAAGGAAAACTGGCTATTGATCTGGGGGCCTCGTCACAAGACACCAAAGAGGAACGTTTTCCTAATGTCTCGTAGTTTGATCCCAGAAGCAAATTCAAACACCAGCATGTGTTCCTGCCCGACCTAACCACATCAACCCCTGGAAGCTCACAATCAGTAGACTGACCTGCACAATCTGTAATACATTGTCTATAGGCTTGCTAACAGGAGCTCATCTTCAGTACTCGGATAGGTCAAATCTTCAGAAGTCTCCTAAAATGTCTTGGATAACTCTCAGCTGAGCTGGTAATTGCTGGTTAGACTACATGGTATCTTCTGTCCTCTCTAATTTGGTTATTTCTCCTCTGAAAGTCTCAGAAGGTATCCTTACAAGTAGGCCTACTTTAATATCTGGCATAGAAAAGCCTTTAGAAAGCATTTACTGAATGAATGCAGTCAGATTCCCATTATGAACCATGCCCTCATTATGACTACAGGCAGTCACTAACACCAAGCACACAAACCCACCTCACACAGTCTGACAGTCCCAATCTTATCCCAGGTCAATATACTCACAACTAGTGAGGTCACTGAGGGATTTTTATTTGCACTGTTTCTGCTATAAAGTTGCTGAGGTAGAGCCAATTGTCCAGGGCTGGACAGGGGCAAGGAACAAAAGGACCCAAGGAAAGGGGCGCCAGGAGCCTAAGTTATAGTGCAGGACCTTTCAGTCATCCATATAAACAACAAACTTGGTAATAAATACAGGGTAGGCAAGGATCAAGGATGGGCAGGAAGGTGAGAGGCTACAGAACCCTGGGGGCTGGAAGAGTATAGAGCCTCTTTCCCCAACCCTCTAAGATAAATTTAGGACATATGGAGAAGAGAAGGTTTTAGTCTGAAGGCATCAAGAAATGAGAAGACGCCCCGCTTCCGAGGAGCTGCTCCAGCACCCCCAACCCCTCCTTTGAGTAGTGGAGGGGGCAGGGAACCGCCTGGAGAGTCCATAGAGCTGGTCCGCTTGAGCCGCAGGCGAGCACGGGCCTGGGCACCCCAGGCCTTACCCCGAGCTGCTGAGGCCACTAGACACTTCTGGTACTGAACCTAGGAAGAAGTGGAATATGAACATCCAGCTCTCTGTCCCTGCACACCTGAAAACTTCTGTAGGGTATGTAACTGGCCAAGAATTCTGTTTGATACAATGCCCATAGTCATGCCTCCAGTGCCTATAGCATTCCCAAGTACCTCAACAACAAAAATATAAAACTTGATATTTACTGAGCACTTAAGGAAAGCTAGGCCCTCCTAAGTGCTTTGAATGATAACTTAGTCTAGTTATTTATGAGGTGTTGCTGTGCTCATTTTGAAAATAAAGATACCAAGCTTCAGAGATAATAAATGATTTGTTTAAGGCAGTGACTCTCAATCTCTGGGTTGTAATCCCCATGGGGGTCACCTATCAGGTATCCTGTAAATCAGATATTTATATTATGATTCATAACAGTAGCAAAACTACAGTTATAAAGTAACAATGAAATAATTTTCTGGTTGAGGGTCACCACAACATGAGGAACTGTATTAAAGGGTCATAGCATTAAGGTGAGAACCACTGGTCTCAGGTCTCACAAATAGAAAATGTCAGAACTTGCATTCAGATGTAAGTCGGTCCAGCTATAAAACTTGTACTCTTTCATTGTTGTCTTTGTTTTTCAAGACAGGGTTTCTCTGTGTAGCCTGGCTTTCCTGGAACTCTGCAGAATCCCAAATGCTGGGATTAAAGGCATGCACCACTGACACCTGACCAGAACTTGCACTCTTTACTATACCTACCACTATGAGACTCAACTCCCTCTCTCACTGTTCTGTACCAGTCTCTGGCAAAAAAAGATTCTCTCCTGAAGAGAAAGTCTATGAACCCAATCCATACCCAAAATAACTGTTCCAATCAACTTATTTACTCAGAGAAGATACTACTTACCTAGCCTTCCTACCTCCTCTTGTTCACCTGCACTGCAGCTTCAGTAGGTAAAATCCACAGATCTCATTTCACTGTCCTGCTTAAAACCCTTCAAGGGTCCTCAGTGCTCCAGGCTAATCTATGAGGTTCTCCTCACCTGGTTTCTGCCATTTCTTTCTGTTCTCATCTATCACTACATCTTCTCGCAGGCCACTCAGACCATGTTCTTTCAGGTACTCTGACCCACTAACATCTCTCACTTCCACTCCTGAGGTTCTCTGGTACACCTGTCCTATGTCTCTTCATCTGGCACACTTCTTTGGGTAGCCTTCCTGCCTCTTAAGGAAGTGTCTCCATCATCATGTGGTGTGTAACCTATCCCTGAGGTGTCTCTGTTCTATTAGAATGTTTAGTGATGGCAAAGGTTGTGAATGCCTTCTATACCAATGAATTCTCAGGATTAATTGTAGCAGGTGGGACCCTACAGATACTCATTTCTTGAATTAATAAGTGAACTAAATTAAGTGAACTGAATTGTATAGCTTAAGCATCTTACATTTGAATACCCACATACACCATGAAGTATGTTGGGTCAACCAAATAGTGCCGACTCTATATAGCACAACTTCACCCAAATGCTGCTACATAAGTGTGCCCACAAGGGTGTGTATGTGCAACATATGTGTGTACCTTGTATTAGCATTCCTCATACTTTAAGAAAAGCAATTATTATGTGTAATGCCCTATACTTCAAATATTAGTCAGCAACACAAAACTTAGCAAAAACAGCATTAAGAAGCCAGATATATTTGTGAACCAGATTTGGCCCTGGGATCACTGGGTTGTGACTTAAGTGGAGCTGCCCATCTTGAGCTCACTCCACAGTATAGAGCAGCTCCAGGGAAAACTTCCTCCCATACCCATTCCATTCCTAACTCACCATGCAGGCAGCTTGCACAGCTTCAGAGAGTCCCCCAGCATGAGGCTGACACCAGAAGGCTGCACACTGGAAGCTCTGACAACCAAGGTCTGCGATGAGGCCAAAGGTATGTGGATCACGGCCAACACCAATAAAGGTTACAAGGCGCACAGGGCACTGCCATAGTGGCTCTTCCTCTGCACCAGCCTCTGCCTGCCCACACAAAGCCTAATCAGTACAAAGCTAAACAAAGGGAAGACCCAAAATTTCCAGAACCAAGTAAAGACACACACGCACACCTCAAGATGCCCCCTCACCTCCAAGGTCCCAAACTTCACCCTCTTGTGGTACCTGAATGGAATGTGCAGTCATCAGAGAATCAGATACACTGAGCATAGCAGGGACCCAGGTTTTCTGGTCCCCCCGGGCAGTGAGGGTACCAATGGCCTCATTCAGCACATCCATACCTGAGGAGAAATGCCCATTGTGCTGTCTGGCTTGGATGAAAAAGGATCTGCAGGGAGTTTCTAGAACCCTTATATTAACTTGAGATTCAAAGAGATAGAAAGAGCTACATTTGAATTCTGGAGATATCACAAGCTATTTATATAAGGCCATGTAAAAACTCTAAGACTCGTTACAGCATCGATCTCACTTCACCCATGTTCCCTTTCCTAACACACCCAAGTGCTCATCCAGCCCCCTCAGTCCTCACCCATGGCTTTGGTGACTGGTAGGATCCCCATGTACAGTGCCTCATATTTCTGAGCAGCCTGGCTCACAGCATCCAGCAACTCCACTGAAATAGACACAGCAAGCACTAAGCTAGCATAGAAACTCAATTACCCCTTTCCCCACCCTTCATGTGGTGTAGTGCAAAGACAGGGTTTCACTATGTGACCAGCTCTGTCTGGCCTGGAACTTTCTACGAAGAACAGGCTGGCCTTAAACATGTGACTATCTCTGCCTTTCAAATGCTGGGAATATAGGCATGCCTCCCCATTCCCAGCTTCAAAACACTAACGAATGTGCCAGGACTCAAGCTAGAGCTGTTGCTAGTAAAGGAAAACCTGCAGAGGCACCTCCAATTCACTGCTTTGAATCCCTGAGCCCAGACTCTTCAAGAAACTAGATAACCAGGAACCACACCCTCCTTACCACCGCCATCTTTCACTAAAGCAGACTGATGTTGTGATGCAGCAAGCCCTTTCTCATACCTTGCCTTGGGAAGTCTTCAGGGCAAATAGGATCTGGGGAACAGCAAGCAGCTTCTCCACTGACTCCTACCCTCTCTGACAAGATCTAAAATACAATGCAGCCAGCATGAGGCACACAGAAAGAGAGAGAAATCAGGGTAAGGGGTCAAGCCCACCCTATCCCAACTCCATATTCCCTGCCCACTGCTGGCCCTCACCTGTGCACAGAGCCCCTGCAGAGCACTTGCAATGGCCTTTGCAGGCACATCACAGCGAAATACATGGCACTTGAGCATACAGCTGTCTTTGTCACCCGCAACAAAGGCAAAGTCCCTGGCAGGGGTGGGGATAAGGCAGATTAGGGAAGGGACTTCTAAGTGCCTGTATGAGGCTTCTAAAGTTAAGCTAAAGATAAGGCACAATTAAGGAAGTCAGGGATAGGACTCTGAGTATCAAGTTGTCACTAACCTGTCACTGTTCCAGAAGCATGTGGGAGCACAGGAGAAAATCAGCCCAGACTCTCAGACTCTCCCCTATCTGTCCCTGCTGAGCTGGGCCCACCCACCCCAACCAGGGCTGAACCAGGCAGGGAAGGCCGTGCTGGGTCCACGTCAGAGGATCTGTGTCCAAGGGTTCAGCATCAGTGGGGATCACAGCCTGCAAGGGGGAAGGGTGAAGCAACTCTTGCTTGGGGGTGGGGGGATGCAGAAGTCCTCACCGGCCCTTGGAGCTGCCCACACCCCATACACGGATGTGAACCAGAGGCTGACAATGGATCAGACTGTGGTCCAGGGGATTCACCAGGCTCATGGCATCTTTTTTCAGGATCATCAGCATGTTCTGGCCCTGCCAAAGACAGAGAGTTGACAGATAAAAAAAATGGCTAACGTGGCAAACAAGCAGCTCAAAAAAACCCTACCACTGCTGAGCCATAGGCTGAACCCCTGGGGAAATCAGACAGCTCACCTCACCCCAGGCACCATCGTGGGGCTGGCTCCGGTTTCGAGTCTGGGCAAGCTGCTGGATACAGTTATTGACAGCAATACTGCTCTTCCCTGGTGCCAGATCCTCCTCAGGGACTTCTACCCAGCCCAGAGAGCGGACTGCAAAGCACTGACAAGACAGGGGAAAAGAAGTGACTTGTTGTGGAGTGGAGCGGTGGATGACACAGGACCCATACACGAAAACTCTGATAGCCCTTTACACTCACTCAGCCCCACTATTATTATTATTACTATATTTATTATTCTACCTCTAATCTTTCCCTTGAGATCTCCCAATGTCTTAAGCTGGCCATCAGGTCCAATCCCTACCTTAGCTCCTGGCTCCAAGCTCCGGACATAGGAATCTTCACCATACCATGTTAGAGAGTTACTGGAACAGAGAGGTAGAACCAATAAAAGGATTAGGATCCCTACATTAGGGGCAATGGTGAAACCTAGCCTATCTGATCAAGCACAGGATTTGGGACAAGTCCCAAAATAAAGCACCACAAATGCAAACCCAGAAAAAAGCAGGACCCAGAATATAGCAAATTAACAAGGAGTAGTTTAAAATTTGAAAAAAATTCAGGACACAAGACACAGGCATAAACTAAAAAGACATAAATATGGATATGAATTAAAAATGTGGACAAAAACCTCAAACTAGAACAAGAGAGTATAGAACACAGAATTGGAACCCCAAAAGAAATTAAGCCAATGGACCGGAGTCTACTAGAACATGACAGGACAGAGAACACAGAAGATACAACTAATGATAAGAACTTGCAACAGGCAAAATTCAAAAATACTCAAAGTCAAGAACATGGGACAGGGGCTGGAGAGATGGCTCAGCGCTCTTCCAGAGGTCCTGAGTTCAATTCCCAGCAACCACATGGTGGCTCACAACCGTCTATACTCGGATCTGATGCCCTCTGCTGGCGTGCAGGTGTACATGAACATGGGGCAAAGCCAAGCACAAAGAGAGCCCCCAAACTGACAAAAGATTCCAGAACCACAATTTAAAAACAAATGATGGTAGCAGGCATGGTGCCACTTTTTATTAGTTACAGGCCAGTTCGTTACAGGCTACATGCACAGTGAAACCCTATCTCAAAAAAAAGGGGGGGAGGGGGAATTGTGGGTTCAGCTGCATTCTTTTGAGTGTCACAGTAACCCCAAGCCCGGGGCCACCCCTGTTACCTCCGATTCAACGAACTGTCCAGGCTGGAGAAGGATCTCCCTTTGGGGGGTCGCAGTTCCCAAATCCCCTCCGTTCCCTATGGAGTAGAGATTAGTCACTGTAAGCTGCAGGCCTACGGCCATTCGTGAGCTCAGGCTCCCTCCTCACTTTCCACCTACCGTTCTCGGGTCCTCTGCACCTCCTAGTTCCCATGTTGGGCGCTGCCACTGCGTGCTACCGCTGGGAACATGCCAGTAGTAAGTCCCCGCAGCATCGCGGATCTTCCTCCAGCCAGGGGGTAGGCCTGTCTCCCCCTCCAGATTTTGGTCCCCCCACAAGTCATCTACACGGACAAGGGATCAAAGCATGGGCGCATATTATTTGTGAGTCCCCAACACTACCGTTATAACCCTCGCTCCATCCCACAGGAGACAGCCCTAAACCTAGACCTCAACAACCCAGTCTTAAAGATAGCACACGCAGAGCTCAAGGTTCACTTAGGCCCTGGTTCTCATTCCCGAGACGGCCACCCCCCACCGCTTCGTGTTTGCATCTCGGGTAACCTTCCTTCACCCCTCACTTCCCCTAAGCTCTTGGTCCTCCCAACCAGGCCCTGGATGCACACCATCACAGTTGACCAGAATGATGGCCAGCATATAATCCTTGCCCAGCATCGCCTCCACCGGCCTGCGCTCTTTGCCCAAGACGACCTCCGGAGCTGCAGGGCCCACAAGCCCGGCCTCTGCGCCGGAGACCGCCGGGCCAACCGGCGCAGCGCAAACACTGGGCGGGACAAGGCCGGCCTTAGGGGAGGGCGGAGGCGCGCCTGAGCTGCGTCTGGTTCCCCGCGTGCTCGCGTGTTTCGGCTGCGTGTGTCCTACGAAGTGCACTGACACTACGAACTCCGCACTGGCCGGCAACTATGAGTTCCTCGGACGACGGAAGAAGGGCGAGGAGAACGTGCACTGTGTGCTCCAGGGCGCGAATGAGATCATCGCGTGGAGCGTGAGATCATCACGCCTCGACCTTTACCCGCGCGCACACAGCCCAGGACTAGACGAGACGAGTCCCGTGGACGTATCTGCGATGACAGCCATCAACAACTTAGGAAGAGGCCCCGCCTTCTCCCGTAATGCCCCGGAAGTGCCTCTACCCTCAGTAAAGATGGACAGAGCCTTTGACATGGGGAGGCGGGGCTGCGCATGCGCAACGAGTTCGGCAGGGGAAGATGGCGGATGACAAGGTGAGTTGAAAGCGTGGACTGCTTCAGTCGGCGTGGTCTTCACATTCCTTAACCCTTTTACTTTTGAACAGAGACGACAGGGATAACTTGTTTTGTTTTTGTTTTGTCTGGGTTCCTGCCAACTGCTTCAACAGTAAGGGCTTGGGACGAGGGCCTACCTACCCTTCTGCGGACCGACACGGTGCCAAATTGTGTACTCTCTTAACAGTCCTCATTCGGGCCGGTTCCCTAGCCCCTGAAGTCCTCTTTACAGAGACAGCGTTTCCAGTCCACCCTTACCACCACTTTCATGCAAACACTTCTTGCTCACTCGTTGACTTTCGTTCTTACATGCGACCACACTGAGTCTTTTAGCCACACTCTTGCTCACAGTTACTCTCACATATGCATGAAATTCTCGTTCAGTTTGGAATGGCCTAAGCATATAGCAGATTAACCTTGAATTGTACAGGGAACTGCTTCAACCCATTATTCCCAGTTGGGTCTGGAAGTCCAGCATCACCCACAGTTTTACCAATAATCTGCCAGTTTCCCTGTCAGGTACTGGGACACAGCGGTTAAAGCAGACTAGGAGCTGTTTTCAGCTTGTACTTCAGTCAGTAGTAATCCTCCCCCCTCCCCCCCAAAGGTGAATGGAGGTTCCTCTGTTTGCCATGATTCTGTGGCAGTCATTATCAGTTCTTGGTGCACATTCCGTCTGTTGCCTCCCTGTCACCGTGTGAATGCCTTGCTTCTCAGTGTCCGTCTTCCTTTACCACTGCCTTCTCAGGAAGGTTTTGTAGGAAGAGATTTATTTGGTTCTTTCCGTCATCCCTTCCACAGCTCACCTAGTTCCTAGCCTCTGATAAAATTGAGCAGGGCCTGGGACTGGGTCAAGTCTGCTGGAGCCAGCCTCTCCCTTGTCCTAGGATTCTCTGCCCAAGCTTAAGGACCTGACGTTTCTCAAGAACCAGCTGGAGCGCCTACAGCAGCGTGTGGAAGACGAAGTCAACAGTGGTGTGGGCCAGGTAGGGGCTCCATTGCTCTTGGGAATGTTGAATAGGAGGCAGAGTCTTATTTTAGCAAATGGACATTGAGGGCCCAAGAAAAGTCTCCCTGAAAAAAATAGCACTTGAACTGGTTATTGTGGCTAATACAAGTTCAAGGCCAACCTGCTCTACCTAGACAACTGTAGACCAGCCTACACACAAGGCCAATGCTACACACAAGAGAGTGGGACTGGGGGTAAGGGGCAGGCTTAGGTACTGCACGGACAAAGTCTTGGTGATAAGCAGAATTAGGAACACAAAACAGGAGTAAGGTGGTTAATTTATAGTTATCAGAGACCATACTATGAAGTGAAACTGGAGAAACGGAAGGGGCTCAAGTTCTTTGGAAGCCTCGGTGGCATTCTGGCTGACTGGGGTTCTGGTTAGATGCCTCTGAACCTAGGATTCTGTTATTGTGTGACTGGGACTCCTGCATTCTTTTTCTAGCCCCAGAACTTTTGAGCTAATCTTTGGAGAAAAGAGCACAGCTGTCAGCAGTGAGGAGGAACAGGCGGTCGAATGCGCTAAGCTGAGCTTGAATTCTTCCTAGGCAGAGAAAGGGAGAGCACACCTGATTTCCTTCTGTGTTTGTCCCTGCAGGATGGCTCACTCTTGTCCTCCCCATTCCTCAAGGGATTCCTGGCAGGCTATGTGGTGGCCAAACTGAGGGCATCAGCAGTGTTGGGCTTTGCAGTGGGCACTTGCACTGGCATCTATGCAGCTCAGGCATATGCTGTACCCAATGTGGAGAAGACACTGAAGAACTACTTTAAGTCACTACGAAAGGGGCCTGACTAGACCCTTTGGGGAAAGCAGGATGGGCATGTTGGGCCTGCAGGTAGAGACCTTTCCGTCACTGACCCTCCACCTGACCTCCCTTGCTATTGTTCATTTGCTGTGTCCCCCTCTTCTGCCCTTTACGTCCTTGCTTTTGTTCCTACAGAGAATGGACAGTGGTTTTTCAGCCTGCCCCCTACATTCCTTTCCTCCCTAATGCCATCGGACTGGCCCTAAAACCATGGGTCATGAGCTCCCTCTTCAAGACCTAACCGTGGAATGTGCAGCTGACTCTGACCCTCAATATTCTCTCTGGTGATGTACCACAATTCCACACTCAATTGCCTACAAATGTGTAGCAGTCCCTTTATTCCTTGCTAGCTACACAGGCCACTGAGGGCCTTGTGTGGGCCATGAGTGTGGAAGATGGGGGTATGCCAGGCCTAGCCCGTCCAAGACAGGCTCGCTGGACCCTGATGCTTTTCCTGTCTACTGCCATGTATGGTGCCCATGCACCATTCTTAGCACTGTGCCATGTGGATGGTCGAGTGCCCTTCCGACCCTCCTCAGCTGTGTTACTTACTGAGCTGACCAAGCTACTATTGTGCGCCTTCTCCCTCCTAGTAGGCTGGCAAACATGGCCCCAGGGCACAGCACCCTGGCGCCAGGCCGCACCTTTTGCATTGTCAGCCCTGCTCTATGGCGCCAACAACAACCTGGTGATCTATCTGCAGCGTTACATGGACCCCAGCACCTATCAGGTGCTGAGCAATCTCAAGATTGGAAGCACGGCTCTGTTGTACTGCCTCTGCCTTGGGCATCGCCTCTCTGCACGTCAGGGATTGGCATTGCTGCTGCTGATGGCTGCAGGAGCCTGCTATGCATCCGGTGGCTTTCAGGATCCTACGAACACCCTTCCTGGGCCCCCATCAGCAGCTGGCGCCCGTCCCATGCCCTTGCATATCACTCCACTGGGACTTCTGCTCCTCAGCTTATACTGCCTCATCTCCGGCTTGTCATCGGTGTACACAGAGCTGATCATGAAGCGGCAGCGTTTGCCCTTGACTCTCCAGAACCTCTTCCTCTACACATTTGGGGTGATTCTGAACCTTGGACTGTATGCTAGCAGTGGCCCAGGTCCGGGCTTCCTAGAAGGTTTCTCTGGATGGGCAGTGCTTGTGGTGCTGAACCAGGCTGTAAATGGACTGCTCATGTCAGCAGTCATGAAGCATGGCGGCAGCATCACGCGCCTCTTCATCGTGTCCTGCTCGTTGGTGGTCAATGCTGTGCTTTCAGCAGTGCTGCTACAGCTGCAGCTCACAGCTGTCTTTTTCCTGGCCACACTGCTCATTGGTCTGGCTGTGTGCTTGTACTATGGTAGCCCCTAAGTCCTTGACCACCTCCATTCTCACTTGTGGCTGTGTAGATTAGATGCAACCACTGGAGCCACCTGCCATCTCCCTACCCCCACCCCCTCAGCAGTAACAAGTGCCTTGTAAGAAAAGCTAGGGTGGCCAGGTTAGGATGTTCAGGTCGGGGAGAGTTACCCTGAGGAGACTTTATATAGAGAGTGTGCTTGGTTAAGAAGACGCTTAAGTGCACCCCTGTATACCTTCATACTAAAGAAAAAGATCTGGGCAGCCTGTCCTTGAGGAACCCCGCCTTGTCCTGCATAAACATGGCTGCTTCAAGTGAAGTTTTACTCTCCATGCCTGCTGTGGTCATTCCTGAAGACACCCTGCCCCGAAGCTTGGTGCTGGCTCCTCCAGCCCAGCATGCCTTCCACATAAGAGATACCTAGTTTGCCCCTCCACAGTACTGTTGCCCTTCCCAGCCGTTGTTCTGGAAAGGTCAGAAGGGGCTGGGGCTTGACTCATCTCAGGGAACACCGCCCCTGGGCCCTGACTTAAGCCTACACTCCTGATCCCTGTGCTAACTTGAGAGCCCTGTGGAAGCCTGCTTCACCTCTTAAGACACTTGGGAGGTGCTGTTCTTCCCACTCTTGCCCCTTCCTAGTGGTATCCCAGCTTCCAGTAACTTGGAAGGGCTCTGCAGAGGAACCAGGTACAGAAAACATAGAAAATCAGTGTCCAACTACTTAAGCAATAAGGTCTTAATAAAGTGTTCTAGGGTGTAGGGTGCTTCCTACAACCATTTTGTTGTTCCGTGGCGTCTCTGTTTCATGGCTCCCCTCAAACATGATTTTCCCAGGTTTCCTAGAGTCGAGAGGAGGAGAAAGTGATTCTCCCAGCTGTGTCAGTGGTAGCTCTTTTGTGAGCTCCATGGACTTCACACTGACTTGGCCAGTAATGGTGGGGCAGGCACACCTGTGAGCCCAGCCCTTCAGGAGGTAGAGCGGGAAGAGCTTAGGTTTAAAGTAAGGCTGAGCTGCTTAGTGAGACCCTGTCTGAGGGAAAGAAGCATGGAGAAGCTGTGGTGCTGTAAACTTGTAAGTACTTGGGAGATAGAGGCAGAAGGATCAAGAGTGCAAATGGAGCTGCCTTAGTGGTTAAGACTGTATGCTGCTCTTGTAGAAGACTCAAGTTCAATTCCCAGGCAGCTACCCATAACTCCATCTCCAGGGGGATCTGAACCTCTGGCCTCCATGGCAGTCATATACCCACCCACAAACCCATAATTTGTTTTAAAGTGAAAGGCCAGCTTAGGCTATATTAGAGCCGGTCTCAAAAAGAAAATGAAGACTGAGATTATAGTTCAGTGGTCAAGCACTTGCCTACAAGTGCAAGGCCCTGTGTTTGATCCCCAGCGCTAAAGAACTCATTCTGTAGACCAGGCTATCCTCAAACTCAGCCAACTGCTTGCCTCTGCCTCCCTGAGTGCTGAGATTAAAGGTTTGTGCCACGTGCCCAGCCTTAATTTTTTTTTTTTAATCCCCTTAAAATGTAAGGAATTTAGAGATGCTTGGGACTAAAAAGCACTCTGCCCAGCAGAACAAATTAGGCTAGAAAACACTCAAGGCCACGAATGTGTCTTGAGCAGGGCTTCAGAACATAGTGTAGCCCAGGTTGGCCTCCAATTGGAAGCGATCCTCCGGTCTCAGCCTGTGGAGTGCAGTTTATGGGCAGAGCATGGCATACCCACCCCCTGTTCTGACTCTTCTGGTTTTGTCACACTGATACCTGTAGGCATCTGTCTTTTGAAATCCTGGCCAGGTTGACCCTGCTTTCATGGTATAACACGGTGGGCTTTTCAAAACAAGAGCTGGTTTTCCTGGTGCCAGCCTATAATCCCAGCACTCTGAAGTTGGAGGCAGGAGAGCCAGTAATTCTTAGTTATAAGCAACTGTATGAGACCCTGTCTGAAAAAATGAAAACTACAGGGTTAGAGTTGTATTTCAAAGATAGAGAAGAAACTTGGTGTGCAGAGGTCCTGGATTCCATCCCTGACACAGGAGGAAGAGAACGATTCCTCTGCTACTTAGCTGACTGCCCTTGGGCCTTTACTAGGGTAGGTTATCTCTGAAGTGAGGGTCAAATGACACAAACACAGCAAAGCTGAAAAAGCAAAATGAAATAACAGGTATTGGGCACTTAGCTGAAACTGGTACAAGGCGACATGGTTAGGGGTGGTAGTAATTAGCTGTAATGAGAGCCATCTTGGTTGGTATGCCCCACCTTCTCCCTTCTGGGGCCCTCATGGAGGAGGACAAGGGAAAGTAGCCCCAAAGTGTTCCTGACCAGGTTTCTCTCTGGGCAGGACTTCAGCATGGCTGGCCCTGCCTGCACTCTGCTCAAGCTGCTGATTCTGGGCCTGGAGTTCCTGGTTCTTTAAGGCCAGATCAATGGTGTCTTGGAGGACAGCAGCCAGCAGACTTCGGTGATGATGTTCTGTAGCCACAGCCTTCTCCTCCCACAGCCCCTGCCAGGCTTGGAATACCTGTGTCCAGATTCAGAGATGCCTGTTGGTCCATCAGCCTTGGCACCAACTTGAGGCCTGCCCTCTGTCTCCACTGACCTGCAGCAAGTGGCATGTCCGAGCTCGGGTCGCCTGTACATACAAGTCATAGAGGGCCACCAGATCTTGCTCTGCCATGTCCCTTTCTGCCTGCAGGGCTTCCACCTGAAGTTTTAGCACCATCTGCTCCTTCTGCTGTGTCTCTTTCTCCTCACAAGCCTGCAAAGGTAAGTCGTATCTTTTGGTGAGTGCCACCTCTGTGCAAGGCTTTGTGCTACACCATGCATATGATCTTATTTCATCCCTAGCAACCGTATGATGAAGTTTCCCTGTTACAGATTTGTAAACAGTTCATCAGAAAACTGATCTAATTGACCAAATTCCCATAGCTACTGTGGGACAGAGCTGAAGTGGCTCAGGCTTTCATTAGTTCCCTATCCTCACTAGAGTGAAATCCAAACTCTGCCATATATGTGACCCTGTCTCTCTAACCTTGCCTCTGATGACACACTTGCTAGGTAGGCTCTAGCCAGAGAGAACAAACTGTGGTCCCAGTTTTGCTGCTGTTTCCCTCTGCTGTGCTTACACTTTTGCCCTATCTGAAAACATGTTTTCACCGCATACACAATTTTTTGTTTGCTTGTTTTTGTTTTTGTTTATTTGTTTGTTTGCAGGGAGAGAATGGGAATGAAACAGGGTCTTCTTTATATGCCAGGCTAACCTTGAACTGTCCTGCCTGGGCTTCCTGTGTGCTGAGAGGCCTGTACCACTGTACCTGGCCACATGTTTTCCTTTGTTTAATTGATTGGTTTTTGGTTTTTTGACATAGAGTTTCTCTCTGTAACCTAGCTGTCTTGGAATTCACTCTGTAGAACAGTCTAGCCTTGAACTCAGAGAACTGCCTGCCTCTACCTCCCAAGTGCTACCTTTAAAGGCATGCACCACCACTGCCTGCCACGTGTTTTATTTCTTAAACAGTTTACTAAGTACCCTTAAGGAGCTGAATGCAGTGAACTCCTGAGCTGACTCTAGTTTTCCTTTGAGTCTCTCTTCAGACCCCATATCCTCTGATCTAGTCCAACCTGGGTAAAGTGGGTCTCATTGTTCCCACCTGCCTATGGCTGCCCATCATAGCAAATAACACTGAATATGGCCTCTTCTGTGTCCCATAAGGCTGAGAAGAGTGTGGTGTGCACATGGACCAATCTGTTATGAGTGAGTCTAGATCCTTGCCACAGTGTCTGGCCTAGGCACAAGGAGATTCAAGCTCCATCCTTCTTCCTTACCTCTTCTGCCACCATCCCTTTGATCTCTTTACAGGCCACTTTCTCCTGGTATTCCAAACGTTTCAGCTCTTTCTGGAGCCGAATCCTGTGTTCCTCTCGAAGTCTCTGCCTCCGGCCCTGGGCCAGAAAGAACTGCAGGGCCACATCTGGGGCCTGAAGGACCTAAATGGCATTGTTTGAGATTTAGTCAGAATGCAGGCTATGCATACATTTAGAACACAGATGGCAACCTTCCCAGCAGAACTTATTGTCACGGTTATTCCCAGAATCTAATTGGCCTGGGAGAGTCCATATACTGAGCAGGGACTCGGGAGGCTGCGGGGAGAGAGAGGAGATACTCTCTGCTGATGGGTACTGAGTAGTGTCAGGGTCCCATGACTATAATCTATCCCAGTAGGATAGCAGCTGCTCCCCATGATCCTCCCTAGGAGATGCGGGGAGACTTTAGGTCCTTGTTGGCAGAAGCTACAATCCTCCCTAATCAGCACAGGGCTTGGGGACTCCTTATTCCCCCGAGTTTTCTGTTTTGGGGGTATGTGAAGTGTTATTACCTGTTCCTTGGAGCTCCTGAGAGGATGCTTTTGGTGGAGCCCAGACCCTAGAAATCCTCTTATTTCTGCCTCTAGAGGAAAATGTCATTAGTCACATCAAAGTGTACACACACACACACACACACACTTTGTAGAGCAGATGAACAACATAATGCAAATAAATCCCAGAGCAGTAACACACTTTCTGAAAATGAAGAGGAGGAAGTGGGGGAGGGGGAGGATAACAAGAATAAGAACAATAACATGAAGAAGTAGCTAACAAGTCTAATCCCCTAATCCCAGGTCAGTAAAAATCGGTTGTGAGTATGCAACTGTAAAGGGGAAAAGAGGACAGGCATGGTGACACATGCACATAATCCCAGCACTCCAGAGGCAGAAGTAATAGGATCTCTTTGAGTCAAGGCCAACCATGGCTATATAGTGAGACCCTGTCTCAAAAAGATTAATTAATTAATTAAAATTTAAAAAAATATTTTAAAGCAAGAAAAGAGAAGAGAAAGGAAGGGACTGGGTTCAAACATGCTACAGCAACTCCTGGAAGAGAGGGTCCCCTTTTGGATAAGAAAGGCTTTTGCCTAAAGCAGAGGCTCTCAACCTGTGGGTTGAGACCCCTCTGAGGGGCCAAGGGCACTTTCACAGGGGTCTCCCAAGACCATAGGGAAATATAGATGTTGCCATTATGATTCATAACAGTAGCAAAGTTATGAAGTTGCAACAAAAATAATTTTATGGTTGGGGGTCAACATAGCATGAGGAACAATATTAAAGGGTTTAAAGGGTCACAGCGTCGAGAAGGTTGAGAAGCACTGGACTCTAAAGGGATCAAAGCATCATATTCCAGGACCTGGAGTGAGATTGTCTATGACCCTGGGCCACTCACATTTTTTTCAGTTTGCTCACCTGATGATTGAGCAGAGTGTCTTCCCAGCTTACAGTAGTTCAGTGGCTTGCCTTCAACCTTCAAGAGACAGTCCGAATGCCTTAGTAGACTTACAAAGCCTGTGTGCCTTGGCTGCCTCCATCTCCAGTCCATTTCTGACTCTTTCTCCATCTCCATTCTCTATCACATTAAGTTGCTTGCAGTTCCCCAGAGATATCAACTCTATGCTGGTCTCAGTTTCTGCCTAGAATGTACTTCACTGTCTTTATAAACCCGCATCAGAAGCCAGTTTCTATGAAATCTTACTTTCCCCTTTTTTCAAGGCATATTGATGCTACAAAGAGTCAGGTGTTGACAAGCCTTTAAGAGCGTTGACCATGGCAGTGTAACTGTTTATTTTCAGACTAAACTTTACCAGGGGCTAACATGGCTCTGTACCCAGTATGTGGTGCATGGCCAATAAATGTTTGGGAATCAATAAGTGGAATATTCTGTAAACAACGAAGAGGAAAGGTGGGCATATATGGAGCCCCCAAGAGTTTGGGTGAGAAAAGGTACCTGTGGTTCAGGGAGCCCCATAGACTCAGCTCTAGCCCCTTTGGACACTTGGCTTCTTGGGGCCCAGGCTTTTACCACCTAGGAGGAAAAGATTCAAGTGGGTACTGGCCACTTATGCCCCAAGTATTGCCAGATTTCATCTTGCTCACCTGTAGCTCCCAAACAGCTCTTCCTAGTTGGTTCAACCCACTGTCTGTCAAGTTGTCTCCAAGGAGGCCTAAACGCAGTGTCTTCAGAGTGGCCCTTCGGGCCCTTATCTCCTCTGCTGCATTCCACAGGGTGGGCCTCACCTCTTTCAACTGCACCCTCTTTCGTGCGGCCCCCAACAGAGCATTCTGGAGCAAACTCAAGGAGCTACCTTGAAAGAGACAAAATAGTAGACTATTCTTTCCTGAACTGCAGAGTGCACTGGCTGTAATACTCTAACTTTCTGTCAAGAACTGTCTATCAAAATACCTAATTCTTGCCAGGTCTGGTGGCTGAGGCGTAATAGGAAGTTCAAGGCCTGGTTTTGCAACTCAGTGTGCCCATCTCAAAATAAAAAGTCAAAGAGGCTAGGGATGTAGCACAGTGGTAGACATTCCTAGTATGTGTTGGGGTCCTGGGTTAAGTCCCTAGTCTAAAACATCACCATCATCATCACCACCACCATCATCTTCATCGTCACCTAATAATCAAAACGTGTGATTTTCACTGTGCTTGATGGCCCTACGCTCAGGCTGCTCTTGGATTTATCTTTTTATCCATAGCAAGTCCAAACCAACTGCCACTAAAAGACTGCACCATTAATCAAAACAGAAAACTAACCTATAGATAAACATATGTCTGCCCTCCCTGTAGACATGTGTTTATCTATAGGTTAGTTTTTGTTGTTGTTCTGTGTATGTGGATGGTTTGCTGGCATGTACATGTGTAGACCAGAAGAGGGCATCAGATCCCATGGGACTACAGTTATAGATGGTTGTTAGCCACCATGTGGCTGCTGGGAATTGAACTCAGGACCTTTAGAAGAACAGCCACCAGGTTTTGTATTCTGAGTAATATCTTGAGGATATGAAATGTTCTAGCTTGCCGCCTTTCACTGAGCGGGGGAGGTCTAAGGACTCCTGGCCAAATGAATGTTGGTTGTAGAGACAGAGGATCAGACTTTTTTTTTTTTAAATTCAATGGAAATTTTCAAACATATACAAATATAGGAAACCAATCTACCTAGTTAAAACTGGAGAGTTTTAACTACTGCTCTCCCCCTTACCTTCAGATGTTGGGAATCAACTCTAAGGCCTTAAGCATGCTAGGCAAATGCTTTACTGACAAGCTGACCTCCAGCCATTCAATGTTGTTGTTTTTCAGCCTTTCTTCCTCCCCATCCCCCCAGTCTGAGACTGTCTGGCTATGTAACTCACCCTGACCTTGAATTTGCAGTTGGGATTAAGTGTGTGCCTCAATACTCAGCTTCATTGCTTTTGTTGTCTACTCTATATCCACCATTGTAACCCGCCCCCCCCACCAGTAGCTTCAGAGGCCTCATTTGTAAAGAGTATGTGAAAAATACAAATGTGTTTTCTCCTTTTTGTTCCTTTCTTCATCTACAAATTAGGCCTGCCTCTCTCTCATTTGTGAATTAGATCTGCATTCTGGGGTGTGGCTGCCTGCTCCTGCAGTCCCAGTACTCTGGATGCTAAGGCAGGCAGATTTCCAGGAGTTCAAGGCCAGCTTGGGCTACTTGACACCCTGTTGAGGAGAAAAGGTGTTAAAATGCTTGGTAAAGATCCTGATGTGGTGGCCAACAACTGTAACCTCGTATTCAGGAAGCTAAGACAGAAAGATGCTACGTTCTAGCTAGCCTGGACTACACATATACTTCAAGAACAGCCTGAGCTGCATAGGGCAACCCTGTTCCAAAAGGGGGAGAGGAAAAAAGTTTGGTAGGTCGTTGAAAATATCTGAGGTTAAGGGGTTCAGGCTGATTTTACTATTAGTTTTGCCCTTGAGTCTTCTGATAATGGCATGCTGGCCACAACAGAAACTTCCTTAATGCTGACCCACCCAGAGAATCAGGCTCTTGGTCTCTCTCTCTGGACTGGTTGAGTAATAGCATGAAGCAAGCCTAAGCTTTCCAAGGGACCCCACCCCAACTCTCAGTCACCTTGCGGGTCCAGACGAAGAAGTAAGCTACTGTAGCTGTTTCCCTCCAGGAGCCAGGAGACAATCCAGGGCAGAGAGCCCTCCACCTCTTCCTCAGCAGCAGCTTCACCAGCCAGCACTCGCAGCAGGGGGCAGTCTCTGCCAGAGGGAGGGAAGAGAGAAACACTAGCCAGAATCACTGAACCAAGTCTATTATTACAACTTTTTTTATATATTTTTTTTCCATGAGAGGTTAATACTTGCTGCTCTTGCAGAGGACCCAGGTTCAGTTTCCAGCATCTACATCAGGTGGTTCAAGACTGCCTATAACAGCCAGGTGTGGTGGCATCCAACTGTAATCCCATCACTCAGGGAGGCATACAACTGTGATCCCATCACAGAGGCAGGAGGATCTCTGTGAGTTTGAGGCCAGCCTAGTCTACAAAGTGAGTCCAGGACAGCCAAGGCTACACAGAGAAACCCTGTCTCAAAAACAAAAACAAACTGCCTATAATTCCAATTCTAGAGGATTCAACATCCTCTTCTGGCCTCCGTGGGCACTGGACATATGTGGTGCACATATAGACAAGCAGACACATACACATGAATAAAATAACTCTTAAAAAGGAATCTTGTGGGCTGGAGAGATGGCTCAGAGGTTAAGAACATTCATCGTTCTTCCAAAGGTCCTGAGTTCAAGTCCCAGCAACTACATGGTGGTTCATAACCATCTATAGTAAGATCTGGTGTGTAGGCAGAATGTTGTATAATAAATAAATCTTAAAAAAAGAAAAAAATTGTTAAAAAAAGAATCTTTCACAATAAAAGAAAGAAGAAACCTTAGAATATTCTGACATTTTGTTTACTTTCCCCCTTTTGTTTCTATTTTGTTTGTAGACACTTCTACATTTGGCGATCTTCCCACAGTACTGCACATTTTGCAAACTGGCCTGAAATAATTATTTGCTGTGACTACTTGAAGTCTTCATTATTTTTGAACATTGAGGGAAGGGGGTGTGAAGATGGGCTGGCTACTCAGGGATTTTCCAGTCTCAGCTTTGAACATCTAGATTTACATCCATACTTTGGCCTCCACCTCACTTCCCAGTGCAACCACGAGGCCCCTTCAGACTTACGGGTCTCCTGGAAGCTGCATGATCCTCAGGGTACCCCGCCACAGTTGCTGGGTCTCAGGCCCAGGGCAGGACATGGTAAGGGTGAGCAGAGAACAGGCCCTGCAGAGGACATGGCTGGCTCAGGAATGAAACCGAGAGTCATGCAGGGACTGGATATAGATGGGTGACAGGTGTCTTGACCTCACCTGCCTTCACTCCCAGCAGCCTTTAGGTATAGCTCAGAGGCAGCTTGGGCATCAGACACTTCTACTTCACTGGCATCTTTGACAACCCTGAAGGAAGGGGGGCTTGAACACAGCCTTCAGCCCCTGCGCTGTGCAGCAACCTCTAATGTCTCTGTATGCTTGTGTCTATGGCAATGTCCATAGCACACAAGAGTCATCCCAAAGGCTTGGGCTCAGTAGACCTCCTGAAAATTCTCTCCTTTTTTTTTTTTTTTTTTTTTTTTGTTTCTTTCTCCTGTGGCCCCCCAGGAAGGGAAACAGGTCAGTTGGGACAGTATCAAAGTTGGGGGGAAAATGCTCAGAGGGGTGTTTGGAAACACTCAGTGTGATGCCGGCCTTATTCAGGCCATGAAGGTGGGGGTGAGAGTTGAAATATGTTTGATATGAGGGCAATAAGATGTATAGGTGTGGGATGAAAGAGGGTGGAAAGGGGGCCCTGGGGAGTCCATCTAGGCCCCAGAAGCATGACTCCAAGCTCAGGGCTTCATTCTGGGATGGCAGAGTAAAAACTTCCCGCAGCTTAGCATGAAGTTATCACTAAGCACCCCTGTCCCATTGGGCCTGGACACTTACAAGCCCAGAGGGGCCACATCCAGTACTGGCAGGTCCTCCAGACATGGGGAGAGCAGGTCCCGAGTCTGCCCACTGGAGCTAATCTGGGATCACACAAAGACAATTGCCACAAGCAAAGCCTTTTCACTCCTGTAGGTCCATGGACTAAGTGAGGTCAAGAAGTCAGCCATTGACAGTTGCCCCAGAGAGGCAAGCCCCAGCTAGAGCAGCAGAGTGGGGCTGGACCCATCTCTCTTTTCACTCTCTACAAGCTTCAAGATGTTTCTGTGGTGTCACTTAACTCTGCCTTCCAAGTTTCCCCTACCCACAAACTCCCACCCCCACACTTACCCCCACCCTCAGCCCCACAGCCTCACCTGCACCAAACTGAGAGTACAAAGCACAGAACCAGAGCTGCGGAGAGGCAGAGCTTCCTCAAACAGCATCTGCAGGACCTAAAGTAGAAAGAGGAGCTCAGTGTGTGCTCCCCACCCCTCACCCCATCCCCTGAAGACAGACAAGCAAGCAGGTGTCTTCAGCTCTCCTCACTGTTGCTGGGCAGGGGTGTGGTTAGGTTCTGAGGCAGCCATTTTTATTTGAGGGATTTTAGGGGTGGGATAGGGTGGGGTGGGGGTGTTTGTTTTTTTTGTTTTAGTTTGGTTTTTGGTTTGTTTTCTATAGACAGAGTTTCTCTGTGTAGCCCTGGCTGTCCTCCTTCTGTAGGCCAGGCTGGCCTCAAACTCAGATATCCACCTTTCTCTGCCTCCGGAGTACTGGGATTAAAGGCCTGCTCCACCACTACCCAACAGAGTTGAGGGTTTGTTTGTTTGTTTGTTTACTTTTTAATTAAACCCTCATAGTAAAGCTTTCAAGTGTAGTGTCGGTGGTGTTACCAAAAGTGTGGAAGTTAGAGCCCCTGAGGACCTGATCTGTGTGTGCCACTTCTCCCCGACTGGTTCATCCATGAGCCATTGCATTCCATCTTGTCTTCTCAGCTGCATGAAGCGGCCTTGGTAAAACGTCCGTCAAGGACCACAGGGTGCTGTGGGAGGCCTAACTGTCCCTAGTCTGGCTTGGATGAGCAGGCAAAGATTTCCCAATACTTGAACATCAGGATGTCCGTGGCACCTCACCTGAGGCACAAAGCGGGGTGCCTCTGTTTCCCGGCCCTGGAGTAGCAGGGCTATATTGTACCCTTGGGCCACGTAGGCCAGCATAGGTTGGACTTGCGTCAACATCTCCTGCTCTGCTTCCTGTAGAAACACACAGGTATATCCCCCTGCATCAAGTGACCTGTCACAGACTGCCCTGAGCAAAAAGAGGCCAGTCAGAGGCCCTAGATGCAGAAGCCTGAGAGCTTCCATTCTCCTCCCATCCCTTTCTTCAAACCTCCTACCTGAGCCGCACCAGGGCCCAGCACCGTGTCAAAGGTGAGGCGGTGTTCCTGTGGACACCAGCGGGGTCAGCAGTGGCATTTTTCATCTTTCCCTCTCCCCTCCTCCCACACCTTCTACCTGGGGCTCCAGAGTGCCCGGCTGACTCAGGCAAAGGCTCTTGGATCCATCCAAAAGAAGTGTGGGGCCATGGGTCTCTGTGGAGCCTGAGAGAAGTGGGCTCCATGTCAGTTTTCATGAGAGAAGATGAGCTCGGGAGGTTCCCTTCACTCCCACCTCCAACCTGAACTGGCTTAGCCCCACCTCTTTCAGAAGGCTCTCCTGGCTGCCCTCCTTCAGGCCTTCTTTTCTTCTTTTTAATGCAATTTGGGGAATTAAACTCGGGATCTCTCACATACTAGGGAAGTAATCTACCACTGAACTATGTTCCCAGATCTTTTTCTCATTTTTAGACAAGTTTACGCAGTGCTGTGACTCAAACCCAGGACTTCATGCATGCTAGACAAGCAACATGAGCTACATCCTCAGACCCCCTCCAGGCTTCTTACCTGATCCCTGGCCCGGCTCCACTTCTACCACCACGATCAGTTTGGCAGGTGGGATGGGAGAGACAGCATGAGCCCCTGAAGGGCACAGAGCTGCCTGACCCACAGCGGCCCCTGTGCTCACCACCTTTCCAGGCTCCATGGCTTCTGAGCTTCTCAAATTCCCCTTAATAATTCATGTCTCTCCTCTGTGGGCCCAGGGGTGGGGTGGTCAGCGACTCCGGAAGGTTACTTCTTAGAGGGCGCGACACTTTCTTTGGTGTGGTTATTCCTTCCCCTTTATGAAAAAGTTCAGACATAATGCAGCGGTGGAGAAAACGGTATAATGAGCTCTCAGGTGACCAGTGTCATCAGTTCCTAACTTCTGGTATATGTTTTTGAGACAGAGTTTCTCTGTCTAACCTTGGTTGTCCTGAAACTCACTCTGTAGTCCAGGCTGGCCTCGAACTCAGAGATCTACCTGTCTCTGCCTCCTGGGAGCTAGGATTAAAGGTGTGAGCCACCACCGCCCAGTTTTGAAATGATCCTTTAACACTCTACTTCATAACTATTTCAATATATATTTCTTGTTTTTTTTTTTTTCCCTTTTGTTCTTTTTTGGGACGGTGTCTTATATAGATAGCCCAGGCTGGCCTCAAACTCACTATACAGCTGAGTCTGGCCCTGAATTCCTGATCCTGCCACTTCCACCTCCCAAGTCCTAGGCTTATAGACATGTGCTACTGTATGTATTTCTAAAAGATAGCTGTTATTTATTTTAATGTCAGATTTTTGATATGCTATAATTCATATGACCTATAATTTATCCTCTGTACATGGGGGGGGGGGTGGAGGCCAGGAGATGATGGCAGGTGTCTTCCTCAATTGCTTGTTCACCTTTTTCTTTCTTTCCTTGTTAGTTAGTGTATTAGTTATTTTTCTGTCACTGTGATGAAATACCATAACCAGAAGCAAGGTCTGTTATTGTCATGGTGAGAGGAGGGCTGCATGCAGGCAGGCATGGTGCTAGAGAAGTAGCGTCACCCTCCTCCAACAACGCCACACTTCCTGCTCCTTCCCAACAGTCCACAAAGCAGGAAACTACCATTCAAACATATGAGCCTTTGGGGCCAACCTCATCCAAAGCACCACAGTCTCTCTGTATAGCCCTGGCTAGCCTGACATTCACAGGGTTTACCTAGAGGCTAGCATGGATCCACGCCTTTTTCCTTCTGAGAGCTGAGCAAATGATCTCCTTAGGCCTCTGTTGCCAACTCCCTGGAACTGAGTAGAATTCCACAGGAAGGCGCATCATCTCCCACAAGGCTGCACTCACCTCAGACACCAGACTCAAGCACAGTGTCCCTGAGCCTTTTCTGTCCTACCTAGCTGCTTGTACCTCAGTGTTTCCATGACACTCCCATACCTCATAGAACCTCTGCTGTGAAAGCCCTATGCTTACTACATCCAACAGAAATTTTTCTTTAATTTTTTTTTTATTTTTGAGACAGGTTTCTCTGTGTAACCCTGGCTGTCCTCAAACTCACTTTATAGACCAGACTGACTACCCTCTAACTCAGAGAAGCCCCTGCCACTGCCTCCTGAGTGCTGGGATCAAAGGCGTGGGCCAGCACTGCCTGGCTTTCTTTTTAATGTCTAGAATAGATTTGTTTATTTTTATTGTATGTGTATGAGTGTTTAGTCTGTCTGCATGCATATACATCATGTGCTTCTGGCATCTTTGGAGGCTATGAGAGGGCATTAGATTCCCTGGAACTGGAGTTATAGTCATGAGCCACCTGTGAGCCTTGGGACAGAACCTGGTTCTTCTGCAAAAGCAGCTATGCTCATAGCCACTGAGCCGTCTCTCCAGCCCCCAGCCACCAACTTTCTGACACCAGCTGAATGTTCTACAACTGAATGCTTGGGTTGTTGTTGTTTTTAAAGATATATTATTGCTAGAGACAGTCTCTGTTCCCGTTACTAGAGAACCCACTTGGACACTGAGCTACCATGGGCTACATCTATGCAGGGATTCTAGGTTATCTCCATGAATGGTCCGTGGTTGGAATATCAGCCTCAGAAATGACCCCCGTGGTCTGATTTTTTGGTTTTGTTGCTCTCCTTGTGGAGATCCTGTCCTCCTCAGGTCTTACTATCTCCCACTTCTTTCATAAGATTCCCTACACTCTGCCCAAAGTTTGGCTATAAGTCTCAGCATCTGCTTTGATACCCTGCAGGGTGGTGTCTCTGACATGAATTGATTGGCCTGCTCTTTGATCACCTCCCCCTCAGGGGGATGCAGTCTTACCAGGCCACAGAGGAAGACAATGCAGTCATCCCTGATGAGACCTGATAGATTAGGATTAGAAGAAAGGAGAGGAGGGCCTCCTCTATCAGTGGACTGGGGGAAGGGGTTACAGCTGGGATAAAAAGTGAATAAACTCTAATTAATAAAAATAAAAATAAAATAGACTTTGAAAACAAAACAAAAGGATATATTATTGCTGTGTAGTTTTGGTTGGTCTAGAACTCACTTCCCACCTCTATCCTGTGAAGACTGGCTGGGATCATAGATGTTTGCCAGCAAGCCTAACCCTATAATCATATTTAATTTGGACACTGACTACCTGAAGTTAATGACAAAGCTCACAAGTTTAAATGCAAAGTTCGCAACAGATTGCCTTAACTTAGATGCCAGCCACAAATGAGTTTCCCAGGGTTTCTACACTTCTGACTTCAGGATCAATAATCCATTAGAGGGACTGGAAGTGTAGCTCAGTACCAATACACGGCACCAGCAGTAATAATAACGAAAGCTGAGTGATGGCTCATCGTTAACAATGCTTGCTGCCTGTCCTTTGACAGGGTTTCTCTGTGCTCTGTGTAGCCCTGGCTATCCTGGGCTCACTTTGTAGACCAGGTTGGCCTTGAACTCACGGAGATCCACCTGCCCCTGAGTGCTGCGATCACAGGCTTGTGCGCCTGCTGCCTTTACTTAAGCAAGTATTTTATAGTTAACTTTATTTCCTTATTTTAAAGATTCATTTTTATGTGTATGATTGTGTTACCTGCATGTTTGTCTACACCATGGGTGTACCCACTGTTCATGGAGGCCAAAGCAGGGTATCAGATCCCCTGGAACTAGAGTTATGGATGGCTGTCAGCCACCATATGGGTGCTGTGAACTGAACCTAGGACCTTTACAAGGGCATCAGGTTTCAGCCCCAACAACTGTTTTGACTGCTTCAATTCTCTATCACACCATCACTTTAAAGAGAATATGCAGCATGACATGTCCATTAGACTTATCTCTTTGCCCCCTATTGGATACTGTGTGCTGTAAAATTTGATTTTTGGTCAAAAAAAATTTTTTTTAAAAAAGGAAAAAAAAGAAAGAGAAGGAAAAAAAGAAAGGAAAAGAAAGAGAGAAAAGGTAACTCGATGGCTGGGCAGTGGTCGCACACACCTCTACTCCAGCACTTGAGAGGCAGAGGCAGGCAGATCTCTGAGCTCGAGGGCAGCCTGGTCTACACGGTGAGTCCAGGACAGCCAAGGCCACACAGAGAAACCCTGTCTCAAAAAAAAAAAAAAAAAAAAGAACTCAGTGGCCGAAACCAATGTGGTACCTTTTGTGTTTCAACCAATTGTTGGTATTTTGAGTAGTAAAATTTGTAGATTTATTTTTACACTGAATATGTAAAACCCAGCTGAAATAAGTGTCTGTTGCTGTCAGGATGTGACAGGGCAGGACACTGCAGAGGTTTCTCCAATCCTGTATTCTTGTTGAGGCCTTTTCAGATTTAACTAGAGTCTGAGCTCAATAGAGAATCCCTTGGAAAATTATCCAGCTGTATTCTAGGAACCCGAGGTCAAGCTAACTTTTGCTTCTGATAAACCGCCTGCTTCTGCAAAAACCTCCCTTGCAGCTGCAGAGCGAGATACCAGGATACAGTTTTTACCTTTAAAAGCCTCTTGATCTAAATGCCCAGGGCTACACTTGGGTCCCCACATACCTGAGTGTAGTCGCATCATCTGAAATAAAGACTTTCAGTTGGCTATAAACTGTGAATGGTCATCTCTGGTCATCCCTGTAACAAGGACAATAGTTATGGATGACATTTTATTCCTCAAAGGGTGAAAGAATAGATGTTCATGCTGCCTCAGTGAGCTACTGTTTCTGAAGGGGGTCTCAAGGTGCCCCACCATGCTGCGATGTCCAGGTTCATTGTGTCTTGAAGATCGAATTGGACAAGATATGAAGTAGTAGTGAAAATACAGATTTATTAAAGTGAGAGAAAAAAAATCACGGATCATCCTGCAAGATAGGAACAGGCTTTAGCAAGTGTTCTTTTCTGTGTTTCCTTTAATGAATTTAGCTTAATGGAAGTGAAACAGAGTACATTATGGTTACATGAGGATGGGGAGGAATCTGCTTGAGGTCTCTGGACACCATGGAAACAAGAATTCCAGCACAACTAGCAATTGCCTGCATCTCCATGCCCAGTGGTGCACCTACATTGCTCCGGAATCTCATCAGAAATTCTGCTTACAGGCAAAGAACACAGACTAAACCCTCCTGCAGCCCACTGTCCTCCTGTTACCTTATCTATCCAGTGCTCCGCCATAGCCACCCTGTAATCTCACTCACAGCAAGAGAGAGTGAAAGGATCCTAGCAACCTCATGAGCTGTAACTTGAGAGCTAACAAAATGATATGCTTGGCCACTGCTAACAGTTCACTATGACTCCCCCTTGAGGAACTTGGGTTATGTGACCACACTTGGGCTACTTCTTAGCTTCTTCCTGTTCCTTAGGAAGCTGTGACTATGTCTTTCTGGGCATCTCATTCCTCCTAAACCTCCTGGTCAAGCTTCTAACCCTACATCAAACCAGAGAGACTTTAAATTCTTTGCTGCTTCGAAGCCACCAGTCTGGTTTGGCCTGAGTCAAGATCTCTGAAAGATCAGAAATATTCTGTGGGCCAGTGAGGGTGACAGGCTAGAACTTGGTCCTTATCCCATCCCTGCCCAAAGAGGTAGAGGTGGATCTCTACCCAAGGGAATCGGATGTGGTTTTTACCTTGATTGACTCATGGGCTGTTATATAACTTTGGACAATCTGTGCATATTTGGACATATGTTCCATATATTTTAAAGACATA